TTCTCTAAATCACGACTGTCCCAGCATCGTGTTGCCAAGTATCGAGGTCTTTGGGAGTTGGGGGATTACCCCCCAGCCCCCCCCCCCCCCGTCCCGTAGCCCCCCTATTGGATTCTCCACTGACTGGGGCGATGGGGTGGGGGGGGGCAGTGGGGATGGTGGATTTGGGCGCATCAGTGGGGGATTAGTGGGGGAGAGGGGGGGGGGGCAATTGAAGAGGGGAGGCGTGTAGGAGGCACCGTATTGGTTGGTGGGTTGGGGGGGGGGGGAATTGGACGTTTGTGCAAAAGAGCTTTATAGCTCATCGGATTCCTAGAGTAAGATAATTGTTCTGATTCATTGACGAAATTTTAAAGTGGCTGGCAGTGGAGGGATAAGAATGGGGGGGGGGGGGGCTACCACGTGGAGGGGGGCAGGGGGCGGTAATTGGAGGGGGTGAGGGGAGAGAGGGTGGGGGTGGTTATGGAGGGGGTCCGGGGGGCGGGGCTCTGGGAGGTGTGAGGGGAGGGGTAGAAGAGGAGGGGGTAATCCCCCTCTCTGTGGGGGACCCTGACAACACGTGACGGCGGCGGCTCAGCTAATGAGAGCGCATCGTACGCGCGTGACGTCACGCCTATCGCATTACCCCGAAGGGAAGGGAGAGGGGGAAGAGAGAGGGGGGAGGGGACGAGAGGGGGGGAAGAGAGGGGGGGAAGAGAGGGGGGGGAAGAGGGGGGGGGAAGGGAGGGGGGGGGAGAGGGGAGAGGGGGGGAATAGGGGGGGGAAAGAGGGGGGGGGAAGATAGGGGGGGGGAAGAGGGGGGGGGAAGAGAGGGGGGGAGAGAGGGGGGAGGAAGAGAAGAGGGGGGGGAAGAGGGGGGGGAAGAGGGGGGGAAGAGGGGGGGAGAGAGGGGGGGGAAGAGAGGGGGGGGAAGCGGGGGGGGAAGAGAGGGGGGGGGAAGAGAGGGGGGGGGAGAGGGGGGGGAAGAGGGGGGGGGAAGAGAGGGGGGGGGAAGAGAGGGGGGGGAAGAGGGGGGGGAGAGAGGGGGGGGGAGAGGGGGGGGGAAGAGAGGGGGGGGAAGAGAGGGGGGGGAGAGGGGGGGGGAAGAGAGGGGGGGAAGAGAGGGGGGGGGAGAGAGGGGGGGGAGAGAGGGGAGAGGGGGGGGGAAGAGAGGGGGGGAAGAGAGGGGGGGGAAGAGAGGGGGGGGGAAGAGAGGGGGGGGGACGAGAGGGGGGGGGAAGAGAGGGGGGGGAAGAGGAGGGGGGGGGGGGGGAGAAAGAGAGGGGGGGAAGAGAGGGGGGGGAGAGGGGGGGGGGGAAGAGGGGGGGGGGGAAGAGAGGGGGGGAGAGGGGGGAAGAGAGGGGGGGGGAAGAGAGGGGGGGGGAAGAGGGGGGGGAAGAGAGGGGGGGGGAAGAGGGGGGGGAAGGGGGGGGGGGAAGAGAGGGGGGGGAAGAGAGGGGGGGGGAAGAGAGGGGGGGGGAAGAGAGGGGGGGGGAAAGAGAGGGGGGGGAAGAGAGGGGGGAAGAGAGGGGGGGGAGAGAGGGGGGGGGGGGAAGAAGAGAGGGGGGAGAAGAGAGGGGGGGGAAGAGAGGGGGGGGGAAGAGGGGGGAAGAGAGGGGGGGGGAAGAGAGGGGGGGAAAGAGGGGGGGGGAAGGGAGGGGGGGGGAGGAGGGGGGGGAAGAGGGGGGGGGGGAGGAGAAGAGAGGGGGGGGAGAGAGGGGGGGAGAGGCGAGGGGGGGGGAGAGGAGGGGGGGGGGAGAGAGGGGGGGGGGAAGAGAGGGGGGGGAAAGGGAAACGAGGGGTGGGGGGGAAGAGAGGGGGGGGGAAGAGAGGGGGGGGGGAGAGGGGGGGAAGAGAGGGGGGGGGAAGAGGGGGGGGGGGGGAGAGAGGGGGGGAGAGAGGGGGGGGTGGAAGAGAGGGGGGGGAAGAGAGGGCGGGGAGAGAGGGGGGGGGCGAGAGGGGGGGGAGGAGAGGGGGGGGAAGAGAGGGGGGGTGGAAGAGAGGGGGTGGAAGAGAGGGGGGGGAAGAGAGGGGGGGAGAGAGGGGGGGGAAGAGAGGGGGGGGGAAGAGAGGGGGGGGGAAGAGAGGGGGGGAAGAGAGGGGGGGTGGAAGAGAGGGGGGGGAAGAGAGAGGGGGGAAAGGGAGGGGGGGAGAAGAGAGGGGGGGGGGAAGAGAGGGGGGCAGAAAGAAAGGGGGGGAACAAGGGGGAGGGGAAAGAAGGGGGGGGGGAAGAGAGGGGGTAAGAAGGGGGGAAGAGAGGGGGGGGGAAGAGAGAGGGGGGGGAAAGAGAGAGGGGGGGGGGAAGAGAGAGGGGGGGGGGAGGGAGGGGGGAAGAGAGAGGGGGGAAGAGAGGGGGGGAAGAAGAAGGGAGAGAGGGGGGGGAAGGGAGGGGGGGGGAAGAGAGGGGGGGGAAGGAGGGGGGGGAAGAGAGAGGGGGGGGGAAAGAGAGGGGGGGGGGAAGAGGGGGGGGGAAGAGGGGGGGGAAGAGAGGGGGGGAAGAGGGGGGGAAGAGAGGGGGGGGAAGAGGGGGGGGAAAGAGAGGGGGGGGGAAGAGAGGGGGGGAAGAGAGGGGGGGGAAGGGAGGGGGGGGAAGGGGGGAAGAGAGGGGGGGGAAGAGAGGGGGGGGGGAGAGAGAGGGGAGAGAGGGGGGGGGGGGAAGAGAGGGGGGGGAAGAGAGGGGGGGGAAGGAGGGGGGGGGGGGAAGAGAGGGGGGAAGAGGGGGGGGGGGGGGGGGGAAGAGAGGGGGGGGGAGAGAGGGGGGGAGAGAGGGGAAGGGAGGGGGGGGAAGAGAGGGGGGGGGAAGAGAGGGGGGAAGAGAGGGGGGGAAGAGGAGGGGGGGGAAGAGAGGGGGGGGGAAGAGAGGGGGGGGGAAGAGGGGGGGGAAAGAGGGGGGGGAAGAGAGGGGGGGGAAAGGAGAGGGGGGGGGAAGAGAGGGGGGGGGAAGAGAGGGGGGGGGAAGAGAGGGGGGGTGGAAGAGAGGGGGGGGGAAAGAGAGGGGGGAAGAGAGGGGGGGGGAAGAGGGGGGGGAAGGGAGGGGGGGAAGGGAGGGGGGGGAAGAGAGGGGGGGGGGAACGAGAGGGGGGGGGAAGAGGGGGGGGGAAGAGGGGGGGGGAAGAGAGGGGGGGAAGAGAGGGGGGGGGAGGAAGAGAGGGGGGGGAAGAGAGTGGGGGGGAAGGGAGGGGGGGAAGAGAGGGGGGGGGAAGAGAGGGGGGGGAAAGAGGGGGGAAGAGAGGGGGGGAGAAGAGAGGGGGGGGAAGAAGAGAGGGGGGGGAGAGGAGGGGGGGAAGAGAGGGGGGGAAGAGAGGGGGGGGAAGAGAGGGGGGAAGAGAGGGGGGGGAAGAGAGGGGGGGGGAAGAGAGGGGGGGGAAGAGAGGGGGGGGGAAGAGGAGGGGGGGGAAGAGAGGGGGGGGGGAAGAGAGGGGGGGGAGAGAGGGGGGGGGAGAGAGGGGGGGGAGAGAGGGGGGGGAAGAGAGGGGGGGGAAGAGAGGGGGGGGAAAAGAGGGGGGGGGAGAGAGAGGGGGGGGGAAGAGAGGGGGGGGGGGAGAGGGGGGGGGGAAGAGAGGGGGGGGAGAGAGAGGGGGGGGAGAGAGGGGGGGGGGAGAGAGGGGGGGGGGAGAGGGGGGGGGAAGAGAGAGGGGGGGGGAAGAGAGGGGGGGGGGTGGAAGAGAGGGGGGTGGAAGAGAGGGGGGTGGAAGAGAGGGGGGTGGAAGAGAGGGGGGGGGGGGAAGAGAGGGGGGGGGAAGAGAGGGGGGGTGGAAGAGAGGGGGGGGGAGAGAGGGGGGGCGCGAGAGGGGGGGAGAGAGAGAGGGGGGGGGGAGAGAGGGGGGGGAAGAGAGGGGGGGAAGAAGAGAGGGGGGAAAGAGAGGGGGGGGGGGAGAGAGGGGGGGGAAGAGAGGGGGGGTGGAAGAGAGGGGGGGGGGCGACGAGGGGGGGGAGAGAGGGGGGGGGGAGAGAGGGTGGGAAGAGAGGGGGGGAAGAGAGGGGGGGGGACGAGCGGGGGGGGAAGAGAGGGGGGGTGGAAGAGAGGGGTGTGGAAGAGCGGGGGGGGGAGAGAGGGGGGGGGGGAAGAGAGGGGGGAAAGAGAGGGGGGGGAAGAGAGGGGGGGGAAGAGAGGGGGGTGGAAGAGAGGGGGGGAAAGAGGAGAGGGGGGGAAAGGAGGGGGAGACGAGAGGGGGGAAGAGAGGGGGGCAGACAAGAAAGAAAGGGGGGGAACAAGGGGGAGGGAAAGAAGGGGGGGGGAAGAGAGGGGGGTAAGAAGGGGGGGGTAAGAAGGGGGGGAAGAGAGGGGGGGGGGAAGAGAGAGGGGGGGGAAAGAGAGAGGGGGGGGAAGGGAGGGGGGGGAAGAGAGGGGGGGAAAGAGGGGGGGGCAGAAAGAAAGGGGGGGGAACAAGGGGGAGGGGAAGAAGGGGGGGAAGAGAGGGGGGTAAGAAGGGGGAGGGGCGAAGGGGTGGGGGGTAAGAAGGGGGGGGGGGGAGAAGGGGGGGGTAAGAAGGGGGGGAAGAACGGGGGGAAGGAAGGGGGGGGGGAAGAATGGGGAGGGAAGGTAGGGGGGGGAAGAAGGGGGGGAAATAAGTGGGGGGGGGGGAGAAGGGGGGAAGAGAGGGAGGGGGGAGAAGGGGGGGAGAAGGGGGGAGAGTTGGTGAAACCGTAGTAGAGTGTGTGTGCTGTGTGTGTGCTGTGTGTAGTAGAGTGTGTGTGCTGTGTGTGTGCTGTGTGTGTGCTGTGCTGTGTGTGGTGGGGGAAGAGGAAGAGACGACGACGAGGAGGAGGAGCGAGGGAGGGAGGGAGCGAGCGAGCGAGGGGTAGAGGGCAGTGACCAGGGGGAGGAGAGAGTGGAGGAAGAGGAGGAGGAGGCGGAGAGGGAAAGGCCGTGGGAGGGCGCGGGATAGAGAAGGGAGGGAGACGGAAGGTGACGAGGGGAGAGTGGGAGGCGAGAGTGGAGAGGGGGGAGAAGGGAGAGGGAGAGAGGGAGGGGGAGAGGGGGGAGGGAGAAGGGAGAGGGAGGAGAGGGAGGGGAGAGGGGGGAGAGAGGCGAACATGGAGGAGATAATGGGGACGGGAGAGCGGGTTTTCGCCGCGGAGAGGATCTTGAAGAAAAGACTCCGCAAGGTACGAGGAGGAAGAGGAGGAGGAGGAGATGGAGGGTGATGGTGGTGATGGTGGTGATGGTGGTGGAGAGGACGCGGGGAGAGCGGCGAGACGAGGGGAGATGGAGCTGGGAGAGCCGCTCTCGGCTTGTGCTTGGCGCTAGGCCGCAGTGCGACCTCCTCCTCCTCCACCGCCGTGTTACAGCTCTCCTTGTGTGCATGTGTGTGTGCATGTGTGTGTGTGCACGTCGTGTATGTGTGTGTACATTGTGTGTACATTGTGTGTGTGTGCATGTGTGTGTGCGTGTGTGTGCATGTGTGTACGTGTGTGTGTGTGCATGTGTGTGCGTGTGTGTGTACGTCGTGAATGTGTGTGTGCGTGTGTGCATGTGTACGTCGTGTGCATGTGTGTGCATGTGTGTGTACGTCGTGTGCATGTGTGTGTACGTCGTGTGCATGTGTGTGCATGTGTGTGTGCATGTGTGTGCATGTGTGTGTGCATGTGCACGTCGTGTATGTGTGTGTGTACATTGTGTGTGTACATGGTGTGTGTGTGCATGTGTGTGTACACGTCGTGAATGTGTGTGTGCATATGTGTGTGTACGTCGTGAATGTGTGTGTGCACGATGTGTGTGTGTGCATGTGTGTGCATATGTGTGTGTACGTCGTGAATGTGTGTGTGTACATGTGTGTGTGTGCCTGTGTGTGCATGTGTGTGTGTACGTCGTGAATGTGTGTGTGCATGTGTGTGTGTGTGCATGTGTGTGCATATGTGTGTGTACGTCGTGAATGTGTGTGTGTGTGTGCCTGTGTGTGTGCCTGTGTGTGCATGCATGTATGTGTGAATGCATGTGTGTGTGCGTGCATGTGTATGTGTGTGGCTGTGTGTGCATGTGTGTGCGTGTGCACGATGTGTGTGTGCATGTATGTGTGCGTGCATGTATGTGTGCGTGCATGTGTGTGTGTGCATGTGTGTGCACGATGTGTGTGTGTGCGTGCATGTATGTGTGCGTGCATGTGTGTGTGTGCATGTGTGTGTGTGTGCATGTATGTGTGCGTGCATGTGTGTGTGCGTGCATGTGTGTGTGCGTGCATGTGTGTGTGCACACGTAGTGTGTGTGCACGTAGCATGTATAATGTGTGTCTGTGTGTATATAGTATATGTGCATGTACAGTGTGTTTACTTTGTGTCTGTGTGTAAATGCATGAGTGTGTGTCTATGTGCATATGTTTACTGTGCATGTACACTATATAACGTGTGTGCATATACTTCGCGTCTGTGTATATGTGTGATTGTGTGTCTCCTGTGTTAGCACATGTTATCTGTGCATGTACATTGTGTGTGTATATATACGTCCTGTCTGTGTGCATGTACGATTGTCTCGCGTACAAATGTGTGCGCGTGTATCACGTGCATCTGCTTGTGTTTGATGTGCATGTACAATGTGTGTATCACGTATGTGTGTGCGCGTGTGTACTTCATTTCAGTACGTGTACACGTGTGATTGTCTCCTGTGGGTAGGTGTACGTATGCTTGTATAATGTGCGTGTCTGTACGTGGGTTGGTGTGTGTGTGTGTGTAGATCGTGTGTGTGTGTGTTTATAACATTTGTGTGCGGTGGATGTGTACATGCACGAACGCTTCTCTGGAAATGTATGCGTACATGTACAGCGTGTGCGTCTACTTCGTTACTATTTAATGTGTTAAAAGGATTGTGCTGTGTGTGTACACGGTACAGTAGTGTGTGTGTACACGGTACAGTAGTGTGTGTGTACACGGTACAGTAGTGTGTGTGTGTACACGGTACAGTAGTGTGTGTGTGTACATGCTACAGTAGTGTGTGTGTGTACATGCTACAGTAGTGTGTGTCTGTGTACATGCTACAGTGTGTGTGTGTGTACATGCTACAGTAGTGTGTGTGTGTACACGGTACAGTAGTGTGTGTGTACATGCTACAGTAGTGTGTGTGTGTACACAGGCACTGTGTGGGGAGCGGTGGCGTAGCGGTTAGAGTTCGATTCCCGCTCAAGCACACAAACACCAGCGACCGATTTTTATAAACCGGGCCTCCCCTAGTTCGACTCGGCCTCAAATGAGTACCTGGTGGCGGTGTGTACACATCGTCACAGGGGAGACAAAGGCGGGCCATTCATCCACTCTGTGTGACATGCCGGCCTTCATAGATGCTAGCTCTGCTTTGACGGTCATTTGTAGTGACATGTTTGTACTTGATGTATTTCACCATCTTATATTAGTAACTGTTGTACACGTGTGTGTGTGTGTGTCTGTGCACGGTGGGGACACACGTGGTTAATCTGCCTGTGACCTCACACTCCACGATCCCATAACACCTGGGTGTCTGTTCTTTTGACCTGATGGCAACATCACGTGGCCTCAAAAGTGCACCTAGCCTGGCGCAATCAGTCGCGACTTCACCGCCACTTTGCGTGCTGCATGTCCATGCTGGCCTCGTCCGTGTCGTGACTGTATGTTGAACTTCTTCAGCACCCTAGTAGCCGATCGCACTAATCGGAGTGGCTGGGACGGACAACAAACCAAGCACCAAAAAAATCATTTCTGAAGAAATGGATTTTCAATCTCGGCTTAGAAGTTGCACCGCTATTGTGGACAGGATTAAGAAGTTACAGATAAGAGGGCGAAATTGGGGATGAGGGCAAAATTACGGTAAAGGGGGTGAAACTGGAGATAAGAGTGTGAGACTGTAAAGAGAGGGTGAAATTGCAGATAATCGGAACATTTATTTATCCTGGAGAAATCCGACGAGTTCGAAGGCTCGTTTTCACATGTCCATTCGGCGAGGGGTCAGAAAGTGTTCTATTAGAGGGTGGAATTGCGGATAATAGGGTGGCATTGGGGACAAGATGGGGTGTGCTCACGAACATCCTGGTGAAGGCTACATTGGGAGATTCTTAGCGTTGTATTTAATGCCGGTTGTAATTACTGACGAAACGTCGTACTCGGATTGTTAATGCTATGGCTTGATGTGCTGTTCTAGTAACGAATTGGCACGTTCTGTTCACGTGACAAACCTTACTAATTGGCTGTGTCGGGTGGTGGCGGGTTTAACGACACATTAAAATATTCACGCTATCTAACCCGAACAAAAAACCTGTAGAAGGGATGATATTGGTCGCGAAAGCCTACGTGCTAAACCGGTGTGCGTTCTGTTTGTGTGTGGCATGTTTATTGTGTGTGTGTGGCATGTTTATTGTGTGTGTGTGTGGCATGTTTATTGTGTGTGCGTGTGACTCCACAGGGGAAGGCTGAGTACCTGGTCAAATGGAAGGGCTGGTCCTCCAAGTGAGTATTCTACTCATGACTCAAATTGAGGCCAGGGTTGTCCTGAGGCCTGCATAAGATATTATTTGCTGTCGGAACGGCGGGGACCCGTAACTTCAAGGGAGGTCTCTTGCCCAATGAACGTCTAGCAAGTTTACCCGCGTGCCCGATTCTGCCGATGGGACGCTCTTGAAACCGGTCCGGAGATTGTGTTGAATGAACGCCGCTGAGGTTATTCGCTCGCAGCGGGACATTGTGCGTCGATGAATCACGTAAACTTTTAAAAAAATAATTTTGTTTTTAATATAAGAAGACGTGTAGTCTGCTTATTTTATTTATCATATGACCATTAGTATTGCTGTGCAAAACAAGGACCCCCCATATAGCCAACAAGGCTTTGGGGAAGTGCTGTTAACGAGCACCTATGAAGGCCTGCTTGGCGGGGTGGTGTGGCGCCGATGTTTACACACCACAGCGGGTACTCATTTAAGGCTGAGTTGACGTAGGGGAGGCCCAGGACTGGCTTAAATGTTTGTCATCGATGTCCGTGAGCGGGACTGGAACTCGGGTCGCCGGGTTCGTAACGACTACACTACCGCTCCTCAACTACACTAAACCACACTGCCATGCGCACACACATGAGTGCGTGCATAAATACACCTTGGTTTTAATTTCCAAACCACAGGCACAACAGCTGGGAGCCCGAGGAGAATCTGTTGGACCCACGACTTCTCCTGGCGTTCGAGAGGATGTGAGTAGAGCCTATACAACAACAGCCGTCATTTGCGGTGACGTCACCACTGCCCTTGTGCCAGGCTAGGTACGCTCCGAGGCCACGTGAAGTGTCGAAGGCTCGCTAACAGGAGGTCACGGGACAAACCGAGGTGCCATGGGTTGACTAAAAGTAGGATGGCACCACTTCTGCCCCCTACTGTGCCAACATGCTGTGTTTTAGCCGCCCGGCGCTCCGCTCGTGGTTGTGAGCGTAGCTCTTCTGCCCTCCGCTTTTGTGGGAGGGTGACTGCCTCTAACTGCCCAGTAGCAGCGTCCTTCATACAGACAAACAATGACCCCCCCCTCCCCTGTATAGACAACATGGGCTGTGGAGGCAGGTACTGTTCAGAAATCTACAGATGTTTTGCTCAAATGACTGCCACATTGAGGGGAGTGCTCAGCTCCTGTTTCTGGCCCTGAGCCAGTGGTGGAAATTCCACTTTCCTTTGACGTGACTTTAGTATGTCCATAGGCCAACCACGGTTGAGTTCCCCCACAAAGTTGGTACTCGTTTCTATCAACCCTTGCCCCCAACCAGAATTTGAACTCGCAACCCTCCAATTGCAAGCCACCCACCCTAGCGACCAAGCCACCTTGGGCTGCGTGCAGTGTGCACGGTGGGTTGTGTGCAGTGTGCACGGTGGGTTGTGTGCAGTGTGCACAGTATGTCGCGTGCAGTGTGTACGGTGGGCTGTGTGTAGTGCAGCGTGTACTGTGCACATGTGCGGTCGACTACAGTGAGCGGTGGGCCGTGCAGCGTGTACAGTGCTCGGCTGCAGTTTGCAGCGGCCCGTGTACAGTGTGTGCAGTGCGTGTGCTCGGTAGGCTGCGGTGGGCCATGTTACTGTACACACACTGTGTACACTGTGTGTACACAGTGTGTGTACACACACTGTACACGCTGTGTGCTGTGTATACTGTGTACACACTGTACACACTGTGTACACACTGTACACGCTGTGCGCTGTGTATACTGTGTATAATGTGTACACTGTACACTGTACACACTGTGTACACTGTACACACTGTGTACACTGTGTACACTGTACATGCTGTGCACTGTGTATACTGTGTACACAGTGTACACTGTACACACTGTGTACAATGTGTACACTGTGTACACTGTACAATGCACGTGTTTGTGTGTGTGTGCACCACAGTCAGCAGGAGAAGTCTGCCATGGGGAGACGTGGAAGGCGACGCGGACGCCCGCGCAAGGACCCGGTAAACGCGGGGGCACGGAGTATACACGCGCACACACACACACACGTGTGTGCACAGAGACATGGTGCACACACGTGTGTGCACAGGGACATGGTGCACACACGTGCAGAAATATACAACTGTGTCTATAGGGACACGGTGTGTACACACAAGCGTCCACGTGTAAGTATGCACGCGCGTGTGAGTGGCAGTGTAGCGCGCTGCGCGACGAACCCAGTGACACGAGTTCAATGCCGGCTCACTGCCAATACCAGTGAAGATGATCTGAACCGGTCCTGGGACTCCCCGAGGTAGACCTGGCCTCGAATGAGTACCTGGTGTGATGTGTTAACGTTGCTACTGGGGAAACAAAGGTTGCCGGGAGTGGTGGTGGTGGCAACTCGCCCCCTGGTGTGTTATGCCGGCCTTCATAGGTGCTACTCGCTAACAGCACTTGCCCCAACATATCTGTTAAAGGCTACGCGGGGGATCTTTGTCTTTGTGTGCGCGCACAGGAGGGGTTCCCCGCGGGTCTCTCCGGGCGCCTGCGAGCCGCTCACTCCGCTGCCCTTCCCACGGCGTCGCCGGTCCCCCCTCCACCCCACGGCCCGGGTGGGGGGGCCGGGCCCCCCCGCCACCCTGATGCCTTCAGACACAAGCCAGTGTACAAGGTGTGTGCCCCCCTCACCCCTGACTCTACCCCACTTACACGCCCCCCCCCCCGCCCCCAACACTCTACTAACACGCCCCCAATCTACCACTTGCCGCTGGCAGCGAGTGAGGGGTCCCTTCAACACCGTACGCCAGTCTGGGCCTCTGTGCACTTTTGAATCTGGCAGGTTTAACCAAAACCGGATTGGTTTCAGACGAGAGGCCAGACGAAAGCCAGCACACTGGCCCTCCAGGTTGGGGGTTGGGCGTGGCGCGAACAATGCCACCCCCTAAAGAAACTGAAAGTAAAAAAAATTACAATGAACGAAATAAAACTGACCTCTTCCGTAACTTCTGGGCCACAGACAACATCCCTGATGAGTGGACTAAAGGTGTCTCACCGTTAAAATATCAAAGAAAGGCAACCTAAAGAACTGCAATAACTGGCAAGAGAATCGCCTTCCTGTCCATTCCCAGCAAAGGTCTCCTGCAGAGTTCTGCTCGACAGAATGGAGACAGCCCTTGACACCAGGCATGAGCAGGAGCAAGCGGGATTCGGAAGAGGAAGTATAAACCAAACGTTTGCACTGCGAAACATCATTGAGCAGTGCTGAGAATGAAATGCACCTTTGTGGATTTCAAGAAAGCCTTTGATGGTATCCATAGGGGGGGGGGGCGGATACCCATTGGAAGATAATGAGCTCCGATGGAATTCCATCATAGGAATGTTGTATGAACACTTTGAATGCATTGTAATCGTGGGCAACACTCTGTCCCAAGTGGTTCCCTGTACTGGACTGAGGCAAGGGGGCATCGTCTCGCCCATCCTTGTTCCTCCTCACCATGGACTGGATCATGAGCAATACGATATCGGACAAACCTAGAGGCATCCAGTGGACCATGTTCAACCTGGTGGAGGACCTAGACCTTAACGACGATCTTGCTGTCCTTTCCACCAATCAATCCAACCTACAGAAAAACAATGGATAGGCTCGATAACCATGCCAATTGATGTGTATCAATCCCACCTCTGACCCCCGTTGTTATAAACAGTGACCCACTGGAGTTTGTGGATGACTTCACCTACCTGGGCAGCCTCATCAGCAAAGAACACGGGGCCCGTAAAGACATCAAGGCAACCCTGGGAAAAGCTAGGGGGGCCCCTTCTGCAGAGGTCGCAAACGGGTTTTGATTCCTTACCGTACCCGTACCCGGCCGAACCAGGGTCACAAACAGGTACCCGTACCCTACACGATACCCGGCTACCCGTACCCAGCCGGGTATTGGGTAGGGTACGGGTACCCGATTGCGACCTCTGGGATGAAGCCATGTTGCAGGCGCGGGTGGGTTGATTCTAGGAACTTGAATTGTGAGAAGAGACAAGAGGTTGGGAAATGAGTGACAAACGGTTACTCACCAGTGACTCACGGCCTACCCGTACCCGTACCCGGCCGCACCAGGGTCGCAAACGGGTACCCGTACCCGTACCCGGCCGGGTACGGATAGCCGGGTATCGGGTAGGGTACGGGTATCGGGTACCCGGTTGCGACCTCTGCCCTTCTGTCAACTGCAAACCATTTGGAAGTCCAAACAGTACAATCTGAAAACCAAAATCCAAACATACAACAGCAACGTCAAGTCCATCCTGCAATATGGCTCTGAATGCTGGAGGGTCGTGAAAAAGCAGACATGGAAAAGGTTGTGAGGCCTTCCACAATGGATGGCTCAGAAATATCTGCCGTATATATTGGCCAAACTAAATATACAATCGTGAATTGTACTTGAGGACACGGAGCCGGAACATCACAACGGAGATGAAACAATGAAGACTGGAATAGAACCGCATCCCTAAAATTGCCCCGAGATGGACGCCTCCGGGTGAAAGAAAACCGGGGAAGCCAATAACCACGTAGCGAAGAACCTCTCATGGGGAGAGGCGCAGCATGCAGCCAGAGACAGGGAAATATAGAAAGCTCATTGTAGCCGTATGTCCCATAGGTGATGAAGAGAAGTAAGTAATATAATTATTAGACCTGCGTTGAAGTGATTAGTGGTCTCGCTAACAGACCGTTGAGAGGGTGAACGTCGTCGTGTCCATGAATAGATCGTGGACGGTGGCGAATAGAAGTGACTAATGGAGCTGGTCTCTACGGGGAGTGAATGAGCGTGTGTTTAACGCTGTGCAGGTCCGTGTGGGAGTTAATTGAATTTCTCATTTAGAGAATTCCATGAACGGTGAACGGAGGTTAATTTTTCACGAACCGATTTCTAGAAGATTGCCTGCAGGTCCCATTGAGTTCTAGATCTGTGCGAAAGTAAATGTAGGGGAATTTCATCGATAGACCTCTGTTAGAGGGAATGAGGTTATGCTAAATACAGGCGGTCCCTGCTTTTACAGCAACACAATGCGTTCCTGGAAATTCCGTCGTCATAAATCATTGTCATACAAATGGTAGAAACGGTAGAAACATCACTTGCCGATGTGTTTTTCCTTTTATCGGTCATATTTAACAAGGATTAATAGGTTAAATACCCACGAAAAACTCGAATAACAAAACCTACACGCCAAGTCACACCAGAGACCAGACCGACTCTGCTGAAATGCGTTCGGAGTCGTGTCAGAAGACGCGTCGCTAAATCAAGTTTCTGCGTCATAAAATTGATCCATGGTGGTGGCATTGCATAAACCTCGCGAATGTGGACCGTTTGTGAATCGGACCGTCGTAAACCGGAGACCGCCGGTACCGCAGGTCTCGTGTAAGAGAATTTGTGAGTGAACGAGGGTGCCCGCAATTTGATTTGCACAAAACCAAGTTCTTCCGCAAGAGCGTTTGCGGTCACTGACAACGGACGTCTCGAAAGGAGCGAGCGGTCGGCCTTGGCACCGGGTGATAGTGTTCACGCGCTTGGCAATCGCGAGGTGCTCCTACAAGCCCAAGGCTACCGCTAAAGGAGCCGGTCCGCTGTTCCGCAGACACGGCCTGCGATAGTTTGACGGCAGGGAGGGGGGGGGGGGGCGGCAGTGTTGGCTCTGTGCAATCCCATTTGAGCAAACGGTACACCGGTGGGCGGTTTTCTAATTTATTTTCCCCGCGATTAGCAACCGTGGTCAGAACATCTTGCGGGTTGCGCGTCAAAAAGATGTCGAAGCGGGAGGAAGTGGAACGTTGTAAGCGGCTGAACGCAAAGCTTCGCAGTCTGCTGTCGAAAAGCAGCACCCAGCCATGGTGACGATTCTAGATTTGAAGCTTTCGTGACTGCAAGGATTCATACTCTTAGGTTTTTTCGTTAAAGTCACGTAGGTAAAAATAATTATAAAATAAAATAATAACAAATGAAAAATAACTTAATTAAATCACGACGATACAGTAAATTTGGCTGTGACGGGTCCACCTGAAGACGGAGACTTGTGTTGCCTCCAAAACGTCGTGATTTAATTTAGTTATTTTTAATTTAATATAATTTTTTATTCTTATTTTATATATATATTTTACCTACGTGACTTTACCGTAAAAACCTAAAAGTAAAAAGTATAAAAACGACTGGCTGGCTCCATGTTCCAGACGCAGATTTGACTCGTGCCCGACCTAGACTTGGTTGGACGGTTCCTCGATTAGACAGACCCAAATCAACGGTCAATATTGACCTTCTCTGGCGGTCTCGGAAGACTGAATAAACCTTCAAATCGCATCAGACTTGGCGAGAGAGTCAATTAAAGAGCGATAAACAGATTTGCTGATAAAAAAAAATTCTGACCGGTGTGTTATGCTGTACCAGTGTGTTGCCAATACGTCCATTTGGTAAAATCTGGACCGTGAAGCCGAGGCCTAGTTACTTTTTGAATAACCCTCGTGGGATTATTTTAGCGTTCAGCGCGAAGCGAGCAGTGCGCGGAAAGTTTGTTTGGTTAACTTCTGATTCCCTTCTGATGACGTGTACACGTACATGCACCGGAACGGAATCGGAAGTAAAAGGCCAATGCGGGAGGGCGTTTGGCACAGTTTGGCGTCAGCTATCGTAGAGAGCGGCGGTCGTGTTGCTATGGTTCTCTGAACTGTTCTAAAAACAACGGTGCTACTATGCCTCTGTGAATAAATGTAAACGCTGAACCGCTCGCGCGTTCCGAGGTTCAGCAGTGAACGAGACGTCTCGGAGCGGGAAAGGGTTAATGGGCCCGCGGTACAATCGCCAGGGCGGCCTGCTGGATTAGAATCGTGGAACTTCCTCGACAAGCGACACGCCGACCCTTGTCATCGCCACTGCCGCCCCCCCCCCCCCCCCCCCCACAAAGGTTCGCCGTCTGGTGCCACCGCGGAGTGGCGGCAGTAGCGCCGCGTCGCGCTCGCACCTGGAGCTGCAGCTGCAGCGGCAGCATCAGCGCAACGAGGTGCGCGCCCTGCAGCTGTTCTCCATCGCCAACGGCGCCACACGCAAGATGGGGCGCAAGCTCAAGCGCCTGCAGCAGCAGCATCAGCACAGGCAGCAGCAGCAACAGAGGCACCAGCCGCACTGTCTGCAGCAGCAGCAGCTCCACCACCGCTCTCCGGCGTTGCGGCCGCTGGGCGGAGTCACCGTCACGGCGAGCTCGGTGGAGCCGGACCCACGGCCGACGCCGGTGGCGGCGGTGGCGGCGGCGCAGTCGTCGCTGCCGGCCATGGGGTTGGGCGGTCGGGGCGACGCCGGTCCCAGGATGCACAGCGGCCGGACTACGCCAGTGCCGTCCGTTGGGGTCGGAGCCGCCGCCGCCGCTGCCGGCGGAGGCGGCGGAGTCGGCGGCGGGGCTGGCGCCGGGTACTTTGCGCGGCGCGAGTGTCCCCGGGCTCGGCCCGGCCGGCAACCGCTGGCGCCGGCGCCGGTGCCCGGCGCGCGGAGCAGGAGGCGCCGGCGAGTCGGCGACGACGTGGGGATGGTCCTGCGCCGCGGGGAGGACGACGACGACGACGACGAGGAGGACCTCTACAGCCCGGCCTCGCAGCGCCGCTCCCCTCGCCTCGAGGAGGTGAAGGCTCCGGCCCGCGCGGCGGTCGCGGCGGCCGCGCCGGCGCCGGCGGCGGCTGCGCCGGCCGCGGTGACGGCGGCGGTGGCGCCCGCGGCGCCGTCCCCCCCGACCTCGTCGTCGTCGTCCACCTCGTCGTCCTCGTCCAGCTCGACCTCGTCCTCCTCCTCGTCATCGTCCTCCTCGTCCTCGTCGTCGTCCTCACAATCCTCGTCGTCCTCCTCCTCGTCTGAGGAGGAGGACGACGAGGACGACGACTGCGACGACGACGACTGCGAGGAAGACGACGACGACGACGAGGCGGACAGCAGCTGCGCCGACGGGAGGGAGGCGGGCGAGGTGGACGAGGCGGGGCCCCGGCCGGGGGGCGCCGTGACGCAGCAGCAGCAGCAGGCGGCGGGGGCGGGGGGGGCGGCAGGGGGTGGCGGAGCGCTGTGCGGCCGCGCGGGCCCCCCGCTGCAGCTGGGGAGTGCCGCGGCGTTGGCGCCCGAGTGGAAGCCCAAGGCCTTCCTGGCGCAGCACGTCATGGTGACGGACGTGACGGCGAACCTGCTCACGGTCACCGTCAAGGAGAGCAGCTCCAGCGTCGGCTTCTTCGCCGGCCCACGGGGGGCAGCGCTGTGACTGAACGTTTGGTTTTTGGGGGGGGGCGACCGATATGCGTGAGGAGGAGTCTTATTGGCCAAACCGCAAGGGGGTCTGGGGTGTGGTGGTGGGGGGCGCGGTGCTATGACTGAACCGTACAGCGGGGGGGGGGAGGTGGGGGTCACGTTGAGGGTCACGCTGAGGGTCACGCTGAGGGTCACGCCGTGGAGGTCACGCCGAGGTCACGCCGAGGTCACGCTGGGGGCCGAGCCGTGGTCGGTTGTGTCAAAACAATCGGGGACCGAACTTGTTCGCTGCTGGGCGTCATGGGGTTTCGTCGCGAAAGACCGGCGCCTTGAACAACAGCGCCGCAGCCAATCGGCAAACCCCCACCCCCCCATTTGTCTCCCCCCCCCCCCCTCCCACAATGGTAGTGCAGTACGATGGATCATCGCGATTCCGCATCGCCATCCAATTCGACAGTCATTCCTATTTCTACGCCGTGCCGAACGTATAGTGGCGGCTGCGTGAATCGACTGCGTACGATACGGCACGATATTGGGAGGGAGAGTCCATGGTTGCGCGCACGATTTTATCCGTGTGGAGTGAGCGTAAGAATAGATGTCAATAAGATGATCGATTTGCAATTGACGTTTGGGTTGGGCCACTTATGGATTACGTTTGAGCGCACTCACCGGTAGTTTGAAGATCAGTTTTTCCCACGACAGAATTTAGCGGTTTTATAAAAACGACGTTTCACTTCAATTTGCGTCGAGCATCTCCAGGGTGTCTCGGAACCAGCCAAAATCAGAAATGGCTTCTGAAGCGAAACATTTGGCCGGATGGGATCATTACATGTCGCCTAACCCAAGAATCAATAGTGGATCATGGCATCGGTCGTGAAAACCACCTACGGCGTTGGGTTCATCGACGCGTTGTTAAGCATCCTACGCTTGACATGCCATCTCGCTTCCACCACTTATATGGTTATGCTGTGGTCATCAATGTGCCCTTCTCCTACAAGTAGAGAATGGTACACCGTGCCGGAGCTTCTCGGAACACCAATCGTGCAAACCCGAGCACTTTTCATAACGGTTCCTAGTCCTAGACCACAATGTTTTTTTTTTCTTCCGCAAAGAGGGAAAATGGCAGTAGTTGATCGTAGGCTACTTACTGCAGGACGAACGGCACGGGTTTCTTACCGACGCTTGCCCATTCACTCTTCCATCACCGCTCACGGCCTACCCCCCCCCCACCCCCTCACCATGAACCTCAAAAACAATTTCTGATTGGCAGCAGCGGTGTTTTTAAGAGCGGCAGGAACAGTTTGCGACGTCGCACGTGCCCCGAGCGGGGTCCGGTACTCTGGAGGCCGAGGTGTTGGTGCCTCGCTCTCAAACCCACCGGAGCGCGATGGGCCGCCAGTAGCACGCGTTAAGCGAGTTCGTGAACCTGTCTGTGCGGACTTTTGAACGATATCCCCTGCTACGCGTGGCGGGGGGGGTTTGTCTGAAAATATCGGTTTCCTCAACGCGCGCACACGCGCACGCGCGCATGCGCACGCATAACAAGACACCCCTTAAGGTATTTGCCAGGCATTGGAATGTAGGACCCTCCAGGAAAATGATCTTGAGACTCATTCAGACTTTTGTCGGGTAAATTAGCATCATGATTAATTTACCCATGTCTTATTTCTAGGTGTTAAACAACTTAACGCTTATCGTATTTTGCGCAACCGGCCATTGGCAGAGGTCAGACTGTACTTGGGTTGGGAGAGCGGTCGGTCATATGATGCCATGCCATGCCACGGGACTCACCCCGAGATTATACTTGACCTTTTCGTAAGAGACACGGAGGCACGCCCGTAAACTGACCCAGCGGAGAGAGAGATGCTGATGTGACCTAAAGCGGGTCTTGGGTGAGGCATACACCAATCCAGGGTATCGCCAACCCTGACTGGGGCAGAGGCATGGGAAAAAGGGCACGGTGACCCAGAGGGACGAGAGTAACGTAGGGGGGGTCTGGTTGTGACAGTACCCAGATTGGGGTACTGATCTCATTGCAGGCGAATCCGCGAGGTCACGAGGCCGAAACAACGTTGTGCTTTTTTGCCCCGTTCCAGTTACATTTTTAACCGCTTTTAAAGTTCACGAATGCAACACTCTCTCTTCCCCCGATCCTGCCTCGACCCCCCCCCCCCCCCACAACGAAGGGGTATGGGGTGACACACCCTGTGGCCGGCCGTCCTCCGGGACCGTGACCTCGATCCCTCTGACCCTGATGCTGACCTCCCCCCAGCCCCACCGGTTTGGGGGGGTCACAACAACACGCTCGGCAAAGTGACCCCCATTGTAAATATTTTAAATATCGGTGTTGATTTATTGTGCGGGCTAAAGTAATTTTCTATCGCCCAGCAGAATTACCTTACGTATTATTATTATCATCATCATCATCATATTTGTATTGTCATGATGTTTGTATTATTATCGAGCCTTGTGTGTACAGCATTATTGTATACGGTAGGCGCAGTGTTGGCCAAGACAACCTACGTACAGTATACGTATACTGTTAGCGTGTGCGCGCGTGTGCGTGTCTGGGGAAGCCAGTGCCAAAGCTGTTCCCACGCTGCGCTCCCAGTGAGACCTCGGTTCGACTCCCAGCCATGATGTCGGAACGTAGAGCGGCGAGTGGTACCTGAACCAGTCCTGGAACCCCGCCCCGCCCCCCCCCTCTAGGTGGACTCGGCCTTAAACGAGTACCTTGTATGGTGTGTATACAAACATCAGCGCTCGGGAGATATTGCCCCGGGCAGAAGTGGTGCTGGCCACATCATCACGTGTTGTATTTTTGTTTCCGGCCTTAATAAGTGCTCGCTAACAGCACTTGCCCTTCGTGGTCTATAAGACTAAATGGGGGGGTGTTTGTCCTTGTATAGTGTTTCCACGTTACACGACTGTGTACGCTCCTGTACGAACTGCTGCGTTGGCATTTGGCATGCGGCCCACATAGAGCTGCGTGTACGCCCACAGGGTGAACCGTTGTTACACGCAGCGTCTGTGCCTTGCGCACGTCCGAACAGTAGGCGCGCACACGTATACACAATTGTGTGTGTGTGTACACACAGTATGTGTGTATATATAGTGTACGTATTATGCAGTGTATACATGGCGATCCAATTTTAGATGCCCCACCGATTTGTAGTGTGACCCACTTCTCAACGGCTGATTACATTCGTTGCAGAGGAGGAGGAGGACGTTAAAATATTTAACAAGTACATTGAGGTTGGTGGGAGACGAGTGGAGGCTTTGAATTAAAATGAAACAGATTATTTGGTGCTGCTGCTTCTGCATTGGAAGGAGCACAACATTAACACGACAAAAACCACGCGACACGTTCATCGATACCTTTGCCTTACAAGGAAGAAATATAGAGTAGGTGACGTTTCGAGCAAATGGGTCCTTCCTCTTAGCGTGTCAAAATAATGTCAATGTTTTGCTATAATTTATCTCCCCGATATTTTAGTGGGGTGCGTGCATGCGTGCGCACTGTGCGTGCGTCCCTCTGCTCAAACAAGTATTGGGACACGGCTCTTTTTCTGCTGAACCAATGGTGATAACTCCACATTCCTAAGGTAGAGGTTGGTTTCTCTACAGTGGATGGCAGCTACTGGAATAGCAATCTACACAACAACAGCATTCGCTACTAAGTGGCGGTGAAGTCACCACGGCGCTTGTGCCAGACCAGGTGCACTCTCAGGCCACGTGAAGTGTGTCGAACGCTCACAGCTGGCAGGAGGTCACAGGACAGACCCATGAGCCATGGATTGACTGACTTGAGATGACTGGCAGATGCATCACCTGTGGCCCCTACTGTGCCAACAATCTACAAAAAGACAAAGGCAATCAACACACTCGCACGCAGACATGACCACAAACACCAGCACTGCCAACATTGATCTCAAACTTCATCAACATCATTGCAATCATTTGCCATCATTTCCATCGCCGCGACCACATGGGTCGTTTCAGCAGAAACAATCCGGAAAGCTGTTACAGGAATTATTTTGGCACCCAGCTACGTCCATCTTGCCTTATTTTGTCATCATCTTTTTGTGTGTACAAGGTATGCCCTGTCCATAATATAGGCATGGAGGGTACAATACTATTGTATTTTTATGGTGGCGCAAATCTCATTTCTCTCAGACATCTGTGCTATCGACTCCCTGTAGCTCTTCAAATCCAGGCATGGGACCTTCCTCTTCTCTTTGACTGTCGCTTTCTCCCATACCCAGAGACCCATAGACTCGCATAGAGACCTACCACTGCTTCCCTTTCTCTCTAAAACATAAATATTCACGTTGTTTCTGCTACTGGAACAACAATATATCGTAACCTTATCGTGGTGGTGGGGTTTGCGTGTTACAGTAACCCTCGGAGCTACGTCGTCCGGAGTCTTGTACTACTGGTACGGTACTACTGGTAGGGTCTCGCTTGGCGAACAGGTCTGGGGGGAGCTTCCAGACAACGGTCCAAAACAAAGCCACTCGTGAATGGTTAAAAAAATACCAAAATCAGAAAATCTTGCCCAGACAAGGAATACAGTGTAAGAGTATCATGGTTAACACGCCACCTCAATGTTGCATGGAAGGCGGGGCACAGTATCGCTGGATTGACAAACTGGGGTATGGTTCCCATTTGTTTAAAAGTGGACCAGAGGGTGTGCCCCAACTACAGAGGAATCGCACTCCTCAGCGTTTCCGCTAAAGCTGATGCCAGAGTGCTGGAGAGGAGGCTTGCCCGGTGGTCGTGGAACAGTGGACCAGCTCTTTCCCTCTCACAGATATTTGAGGAGTCGTGGAAGTACGCTTTACCAGTCTACCTCTGATTTGTAGACTTGGAGAAAGCATATTGACCGGGTTCCCCGCAATGTCTTGTGAGAGGTGCTGCGGGAGTATGATGTACCGGTGCCGCTTTTGTGCATTATCCGGTGTCTCTATTCCCGGAGTGAGAGCTGTGTCCGTATGCTTGGGTGTTAAATCAAAGTTGTTCACCGTGGGTGTTGGACAACGCCATGGGTGCGTCTTGTCTCCACTCCTGTTTGTGATTTTCATGGACAGGATATCAAGGCGCAGCCGAGGTATGGAGAGTATCCAGTGTACGGGGGCATGGAGGTAGCGTCGCTGCATTTTTCAGATGGCGTTGTCCTCTTTGCCTCGTCGGTCTGTGATCTCCAGCGGGCACTCGAGCGGTTTGATGCCGAGTGTGAAGCAGCTGGGATGAGGTTCAGCACCTGCAAATCTGAGGTCACGGTTCACTCCTGGGAGACGGTGGATTGTTCTCTCCAGGTGAGGTGAGGACAGCTGCCCTGAGTGGAGGAGTTTAAGTACCTCGGGGTCTCTCTCGCGAGTGACGCTAAGTGGGAGCGGGAGATCGGCCAACGGATCGCTGCGGCGTCCGCGGTGTTGCGTGCACTGCACCGTTCCGTGGTAGTACAGCGGGAGTGGAGTTTTTTCCGAACAAAGCTCTCGGTTTACAGGTCGATCTGCATTCCCACCCTCACCTATGGTCATGAGCTTTGGGTGATGACTGAAAGGATGAGATCGCGGGTACGAGGGGCTCGAAATGAGGTTTCTCCGCTGGGTTGCCGGGCTCAATCTCCATGATCGGGTGAGGAGCTCGGTAATCTGGGAGAGCTTCGGTAGAGCTGCTGCTCGTCAAGAGGAGCCAGTTGAGGTGGTTTGGGCACCTGGTAAGGATGTCCCCCGGTAGGCTCCCCCTGGAATTCTACCGGGAACGTCCCACTGGGCGAAGGAGCCGGCCCAGGACACGCTGGCGGGACCATGTGGCTCAGCTGGCCTGGGAACGCCTGGGAATTCCTCGGAAAGAGCCAGAGTCTTGTCGCCAGGGAAAGGGAGGTCTGGACCACCACGACTCACAACGCTGCCGCCGCCGCGACCCTCGCCAGGACGAGCAGACTGAGAAACAAGGAACGAACTGTTTCTGTACAGCGGCCCATTAACATAACGTAATTATACACTTTAAAACAATGGAATTTATGAATGTGCATTGTTCAATGTATGCACTTCGCACATTGAATAGGTTTAATATATGTACGACACGAAGCATACATGTAACGCTCTCCAGCATTGCGACCAGGTGTACGTGTGAGACCAATCGCACTGCACTACTTTGTGTACGATATGCGTGTTCAACAACCCCGTCGGTCCACTGCTGGATGACATCCTGCCCACACCATGTGGATCACGGGAGTTGAGTGACCATACTTCACCATGCTGGTCAGTGCAGGTTGGTGAAAGCGTCACCATGGTAACATAGCACGCAATTTATGCGCATGTGTGTGTGTGTGACCTCTACACAGATTGGTCTTTTCTCTTTTCAAATCCCTTCAGGGTTTCACTTGTCCCATCATCTTCATTAAAAAAGGGTCGATAAATCAAGAACCATTTTGTGGCTGTCCTGTGCAGAGATTGGCCTCCCCGTCGCAGGAACGTGGAATTTCCTCCACTGGCTTATGGATGTTTTCTGCGCGTACAAACGCAAGGTGGTTGATGCGTTTAAAGTCTACGCAGTAAACCACACGCAAGTGCACGTGCACGGTGCACGTATGTATGTGGTGTGCGTATTAACATCGCTACACCATGTGTGTGTCCAGCACCAATCGCTTTGTTCCAGAGGTCCCAAAGCCCTCGTTTTGCATCCGTCCCGAGGCTTCAAACATTCTACTGGCTTCCATGGACATGCTTGCGTGTCCTGTGGTGGTGACCCCGGTGTCAAGATCGGCCTCTGTGGAGGAGGCTCGTGAAGGACGCTACTGGGCAGTTGGAGGCAGTCGCCCTCCAACAACAACGGAGGGCGGAGGAGCGACGCTCACAACAACGAGCGGAGCGCCGGGTGGCTAAAGCACAGCAAGTTGGTACAGTAGGGGGCACAGGTGGTGCATCAGCCAGTCATCTCGGTCATCTCGGTCAGTCGACCCGTGGCACCTGCTGGGTCTGCCCCGTGACCTCTTGCCAGCGGGCGTTCGACACTTCACGTGGCCTCAATGTGCACTTGGCCTGGCACAAGCGTCGTGGTGACGTCACTGCCACTTAGTGGCGAATGGCGGTTGTTGTTGGTGGTGGTGGTGACGCCGGGTCCCGTGGAGGTTCCCAAGGGTTGCATGTAGGTTGTGAAACGTTCTGTGGACATTCTCGCGTGGGTCCTGTGGATGTCGCCGATGGAGGGGGGCCCATGAGTGCGCATGGACGCACACGCGGTACGCGCGCGCCGTTGACGGATGACATGGGAGAGACGTTTTACAGCTGCTGTAAATATCGCGCCAGTGTTTGACCGCGTTTATTATTAAAGGAACCAGGTTATTAAACGTCACCCGTGTAATTCAGGTCTTTCCTAGTCCGTTATGAGGAGCAAGCACCGACTCGGCAAGGTTGTGCACCTAATTCTAGATTTGAAGCTTTCGTGACTGCAAGGATTCATACTCTTAGTTCTTTCGGTAAAGTCACGTGGGTAAAAAAATGAAATTAAAATTAATAAAAATAAAACAATAAAAATCACGACGTTTCGGAGGCAACACAAGCTTCCGTCTTCAGGTGAAACCGTCACAGCTAAATATATGTACCTTATATAGTGGTTAAGGGGGGAAGAGCCAGGAAGTGCACCTACTTTGATAGTGCGGGGATGTTGCCGAGTGATTGCGGGTAGTTTCTAGAATTTGTAAAACGGCCACACATTGGCCCTATACCCCGTTTCGAATGATGTTTGACATCCGTTGTGCGTCAGAGGGTGCGTATATTTATGCAAAATTCGAGGCGCCATCGTCCAAAGATTGTACCATCTGTAGCACGAAGAAAGTTCAACATTAAATTTCGATTTAAAGCTTTCGTGACTGCAGGGATTCATCTTCTTGGTTCTTTCGGTAAAGTCACGTAGAAGGGAGATAATTAAATAAATAAAAATAAAACATAACAATACAATTCTCACGACGTTTCGGCCACAACGCAAGCAGCCGTCCTCAGGTGAAGAACAGGTCTGACGCTGTCTTTCCGACTGACCTGTTCTTCACCTGAGGACGGCTGCTTGCGTTGTGGCCGAAACGTCGTGAGAATTGTATTTTATTATCTTTTATTATTTTATTATCTCCCTTCTACGTGACTTTACCGAAAGAACCAAGAAGAAAAAAGTTCACATATGTACATACATCAGAGCTTAGGCTGACTTGGGATTAGATATTATCGGCGTTTTTTCCCTCCATTCGTAGAAATTTCACCTGGAAAATCCGTTGAAGTGGAACGACTCAGGATCGACACGTAACGAGACGTGTGCAAAGAGAGATCCACTCGCATCCACATCCCTCCACTCAAATCCACACACGCTCGACCAACGTTAAGCCGCCGTTCGCCCACGAAGTGCTAGGCTAGGTGTACTGAACGTCTTTCGCGTAGCAAACCGTGCTAATCGGAGGAGGCATGGGTGGGAAAAACCCGAATTTTCCAGCGGCAGGCATCGGGTTTTTTTTATTTAATACAATTCAACCCGATTTCGTGGAATTAAAACCTGGTTTAATGAATACGAGACTCTGATCCAAGGCTTAGGCTGCTTCCTCGTCGGTGCTGCTATCGTACTCGGGGGGCCGTCGGGCACGGGGTAGTCGTAGAATGCGGCGGGCAGGTTGGTCTTGATGAACACGAGGAGCTTCTCCTCCACAATCGTGGGCGCCAGTGAGTTCCTTAGCTTGGAATGGATGAAGCCCATCGTTGAGAAGAAGTTGGCGAAGTGCGGTTCCGCAATTAGAACCAATTAAACCGCATTTCTCCCAATCTCAGATGATCGGGTTTAATATAAAAAGACAATTAAACCCGATTGTAAAAAACCCGACTGTGCCACCCCCTTAGGAGGAGGTCACGTGAAGTGTTGAAGGCTCGTTGACAGGAGGTCACAGAACAGACCCAAGTGTCATGGGTTGACTGACAGATGACTGGCAGATGCACAATCTGGGATCTCCACTGCGCTCGTTGCGAGCATCGCTTAACCGCACCCAAACAAAGTTCCCCCGTGTAGCCTTAGCAGACTGTTGGGGCAAGTGCTGCTGTTAGCGAGCACCTGTGCAGGTGCGGGCACGGCACACGAGGGGGTGTGGGTGGCAACACCACGCCCAGCCGCCTTTGTCTCCCCAGTGGCGATGTTGACACCATCGCACCAAGTACTAATTTGAGACTGAGTCGACCTAGGGTAGGAGGCCCAGGTTCAGATAATCGTCACCGGTGTTGGCCGTGAGCGGGAATCAAACCCGGGTCGCCGGGATCGTAGCGAAACGCGCTAACCACTACGCCACCGCTCCCCACACTCAATCACGCATACTCTAGAAAACACGTTATGCACACGTATACAAACTTTTTGTTTGTTTTAATCAATCATTTGAACAGGATGCGTTTATGCGATGGATATCGCACCCAAACACATGAATACACAATGAAAAATATTTAAACCAGCGGTGTGTAACCACGATTAGAGGATAGAATAATTCAATGTAATTCAATATTTTTCGATTTAAAGCTTTAGTGACTCCAGGGATTCATATTCTTGGTTCTTTCGTTAAAGTCACGTAGAAGGGAAATAATAAAATAATAAAACTAAAACAAAATTCTCACGACGTTTCGATTGAAACACAAGCAATCATCATCAGGTGTGAAACCACAGCAAGAAATTTTGAAAAAAAAAAAGAAAAAAAATGCAGATTTTTGTTTTCCAAAATTCTTGCTGTGGTTTTCACACCTGATGATGATTGCTTGTGTTGCAATCGAAACGTGAGAACTTTATTGTTTTATTTTTATTATTTGCCTTCTACGTGACTTTACCGAAAGAACCAAAAATAGAATTAAATATTCTTGTACCCTATGTTATCCTATAATCTTATGGACACGTCTTAAAACAAAGAATGAAAGACAACAGAAGCAGTGAAGGTGGTGATGATGGTGATGATGATGTTTGAGATCAGTGTCAGTGGGGCTGGCGGTTATCAACACAGTTTAACACGTGAGTCGGCTTTCGCGACCAATTTTACCCATCATAAATGTGGTTGTTTTTGGGTTGGATCGCGTAAATATAAATGTGTCGTTAAACCCGCCGTCGCCCGAAACAGGAAGACTTACTCACAATTCCGGCTAATCTCCCGATGAAGCTGCTTGTTGTAATCACCCCGCGAAACGCCACAGTTACTCGAAATGTGAATGTGGATTTTACTCTCCAACACACAACCGGTTGTGTGTTGAAGTAGTAACGACGAATTGGCAAGCGACAAACTTGATCAATTGGCTGTCGGGTGGCGGGTTTCACGACGACGACGACACATTCATATTTACGCGAGCTAACAAAACCAAAAAACCTTTAACTACGGTTGTGATAATTAATTGTCATGTTTGCCATGTGTTAGTTACAAACTGCACCTCTCCATAACAAAGGCTCAGTCCTTTGTTATGCAGTCTACTCTTGGTCTTAAGCCTCACCTTACCATATTAATAAAAAAAGTGTGCCGTTCCTGGCCCTTCCCCCCCTCAACCATTATATATACGGGGTGGTATTTCTTGTGATCTCTCATTTACTTGATACAGCTGTCGTGGCTGTGACGGATCCACCTGAAGACGGAGGCTTGTGTTGCTTCCGAAACGTCGTGAATTTTTTTAATTTGTTTGATTTTACTTTCATTAATTTAACTTTTTACCTACGTGACTTTACCGAAAAAACCTAAGAGTATGAATCCTTGCAGTCACGAAAGCTTCAAATCTACAATTATAACGAGTTTGGTTTTTGCTGCTATTGCAATTCTGAAACGAGTCTCCACGGTGAGGCGCTCTCTGCGCACGCGATTCAGGGTTTGAGAATTTACGGGGGAACGCGGGTGCCGAGTTCGCTGGAGAAAACATCAGCCCTGGGGAGACAAAAGATTCGAAGCTTTCGTGACTGCAGGAATCCATACTCTTTGGTTCTTTCGGTAAAGTCACGTAGGTAGGAAATAAAATAAATCACGACGTTTCGGGCGCAACACAAGCAATCATCATCAGGTGTGAAATCCACAGCAAGAAACTTTTTTCAAAATTTCTTGCTGTGGGTTTCACACCTGATGATGATGATGATTGCTCGCTCGTGTTGCAGTCGAAACGTCGTGAGAATTTGTATTGTTTTATATTTATATTATTTCCCTTCTACGTGACTTTACCGACAGAACCAGGAATACGTATGGACCCTGTTTGGGTCACCACTCGCCGCGGCAGCCCACGCAGGCCGAGAGTGTGTAGGGCGGGCGAGTTCGGAGCGAGCTAACGTCACTTTGTGTGCACGGCACAACCCGTTTGTCAATCGACTGCGGCCGCGGCTCTCCCCTAGGACGGCTCAGCGTGAAACGAGTGCCCGCACGCGGCTTGTGTAAACATCAAGCACTTTGTAGTAGAGACAAAGGCGGCCGGGCATGACCGCTTGACCGCACTAAACAGCCCGGTGCGCCGTGCCTCCCTCAACAGATTATCGCCAACAGCAGCCACTCGCCTCCACTAACTCTATGCAAAGCTATAACGGGGGCATGTATATTTATGTCTCTCTACATAAACATACACGACTGTGTGTGTGTGTATATAGACCGGGCGGTGTACGGTAATTTTGGTACTGTACAAACGCACGTGCGCGCACTGTACACGGTGCCATCGTGGATTTTTTAAAAACATCACAACGGACATCCGGTCACGTGGCCTCGAAAACAACCCAGTGAGGGCATTTCCGGTACGTGACCCCAGTGTCGCGAACGTCACTTCCGCTTCCACATCTAAGCCCCGCCCACCGTCTCCTCCCTAACGGAAAAACAACAACAAGTGGTGGTGGTGGTGTCATGTACACACAGCAACAACAACACGCGTGGTGGTGGTGGTGGTGGTGTCATGTACACACAGCAACAACAAGTGGTGGTGGTGGTGTCATGTACACACAGCAACAACAACACGCGTGGTGGTGGTGGTGGTGGTGTCATGTACACACAGCAACAACAAGTGGTGGTGTCATGTACACACAGCAACAACAACAAGTGGTGGTGGTGGTGTCATATACACACAGCAACAACAACAAGTGGTGGTGTCATGTACACACAGCAACAACAACAAGTGGTGGTGTCATGTACACACAGCAACAACAACAAGTGGTGGTGTCATGTACACACAGCAACAACAACAAGTGGTGGTGTCATGTACACACAGCAACAACAACAAGTGGTGGTGTCATGTACACACAGCAACAACAACAAGTGGTGGTGGTGGTGTCATGTACACACAGCAACAACAACAAGTGGTGGTGTCATGTACACACAGCAACAACAACAAGTGGTGGTG